TTTTTGTTTGCTTTTTTGTGGTTTTTTATCACGTTTGTGGTATGCATTAGGAGGTTTCTGGTGTGTTTATTAAAGACTAGTGATCTGCATACCGATAACTCCTAAATGCATACGATAAACACAACAATACACTAAAATACATTAAAAACACAATCAATTCAACCTGCAATTTGACCTGGTGTTCTATAACTATATCATTCAAATGGGAAGTCTTCATTATTAATTCATCCAAGACTTATTAGTCATTTACCTTACGGAAATTCTGAATTTGGGAAGTTGGGTTACGTTGTTGGGGCTTGTCCAATTTGTTGCACTTTCCAGTTACGATTTGTAGTCCAAAGCCAAGAATCGGAAAGGATTCAATATTCATTCAAAAGCTTGACACGACAAATCATGAGTCAGAGAGGAAGGAACCACAGCAAAAGAGTACAACCCCCCACACCATTTAATTATGATAGAATCATTCACATAAAGAGAAGAGAGAACAATTACCAATATATATGTTGCATGCCATCATCACCATAACTTCTTATTGCTGCCTGCCTGCCCACAATATGCTCCAATCCCAATGGACACACAGACCACTACTGCGTTTTCTCCTCATTGTACAAACACCAAACCTTAAATGCATCGAGTATGGAGAACCTGTACTTGCTCGATATATATACCCTAGAAGAGAGTGAGACCAGCAGCGGTGTTGCTTTTCCCTGCCTGCCTGACAGAATCAGCCGTTCGCGAAGAAACCCGGGTCGGGTTTCAATTGGATGGAGGAAGAAGGGGTCCGGCTCATCTCCACCACTTCCCCTAACCCCCAGTCACCACCGTCGCCGTGAAACCCGTTCAAAACGCAGCCCATATAATCGTCGCCTAAGGAGCCCACTTCTTGCTGCTGCTGATGGAAATTGTACTGTAATCGTTGTTGTTGTTCCGCGTCGTGATAGTGGTAGGGATGATGATGCCATTTCGCCGCCGCCGGGTCCAGCAGCGCGGCGGAGTCGGCGTAGTGGAAATCGGGCGGTGGAGCAGCTAGGAAGGTGCTGCCTCCGCCGACTGAGATGCAGGAGGAAGGTGCTGCGGTGGCGGAGATGAGGTCTGCTGCGGGATTAAAGCGACCTTGAATTTTAATCAAATTTATTTTATTATTTTCAGTATAAGTTTACCCTATTACTCTTAATGAATCATGTTGTTATTATAACAACACAAAGGGTGTTGTTATTCTATCCTGGCCCCTTCACGTGATCACGTCCGTACACTTCCGCCACTAGAGTTCCAGTTTTACGAATTCGTTTTTATGCTAGCAAAATCAACCTAAACACATTAATATTGTAAACTGAAAAACTGATCAAGAAACAAAAATAAAAGACAAGAAAATAGAAGAGAACAAATCCAAGGAAGATAGGGAATTAGGGATGACAATTTAAATCCGGATCATCGAGTATTATCCGACCATAGTGACTCGTGTTGGCAGTGGCGGAGCCACTCATCAAGGTGGGGTGTCTGCAGCCCCCTTGACATTGGAGGAGGAGCAAAAAATTATCTAAAGATTTAATTGGTAGGCTGGTGACACTACAAGAAAATTTGGCTATAGAGTCAGAGATTATTTACGTCTAAAAGTCAGTTATTTGATTCTATATATCTTTTGAAGCAAATAAATTATTTGCATCGAACGCCTCCCTCTCTAATTCTCTTTAGAAGCAAATATAGATGCAAATAATATCTGCTTCTAATTATAAAATCTGAATCAAATCTTATTGATTCTAATCCCACTTTAAAGAACGTATATATTCTCTTCTTTTTTGGTTTTAGAGAGAAAAATGTTTGTTCTCATTTCTAGTTATGGAGACAATTATAATTGTTTCTAGAACACCTTACCGAAGCAAATATTTGCTTCGTGAGCAAATACTTTAGCTACTATTTCAACTTTCATAATTTTGATTAATTTTAAATTATACCTACGATTACCCAAATAAAATAACAATTTAAAGTTTTTATTAATAATTTTAATACGTTTATTCTTAAAATACATGAATACATTGCCATAATACATAAAGAATACATTGCGCTAACCCATAAAAAAAAATACATTGTGCTAAATCATCTACTGATCTACCCTACGCTGTGGCTCGCTACAACTAATCACTAACATACCAAAACCCAACCTCGTCAAGCGCTGTTCTCCTCCTTTTTTTTCCTTGACCAAATCATTAAACAACCACAAATAGAACAGATTCAATTGAGGCCTCTGTGATGCCGCTGCTGCTTCTTCGCCCTCAAGATTGCAAAAGCTTGCCCCATCTAGCCCCCAAACAAACAGATTGGAGATTCGTCATATGAAATCCAAATCCAGTTCAAGCGACGTCCACTAAATAAAAACCCTAGATCTAGATCTATAAGGGCAACATAATTAACAATTGAAAACGTCGTCGATATGCACTCAGGTCTAGATATTTCAAGCTCGATCTATAAGCACTCAGGAGGAGATGGCTACATCAGCAGATGAAAATTGCTTCCCATATGTACATCTAGATCATCGGGACAAAGATCTCCTTGAAGGATAGGTGTCGTTACCGCTACTGTCTTCAGGTCCGAATCGAAGAGAAAGCCTAAGAAAGGAGCAGTCTTGTCGCTGATGAACGTCGACGTCATTTCTGATATCTCTCTTGGCGGATCTGAGGGAGTAGGTGACTACTGCGGGAGAGAAAGCTGCGTCGATTGAACGATTGATGATATGCCTCTCCTTCTCCTTCTCGATCTATCGATTCTCTCAGGAATTAAAGGCAAGGAAGAAGAAAAGAACGAGAGAGAAGCGGAGGAAGAGTTATGGCTGATGTTCGTTGTTTGGAGAGAGAGAGAGACGGCCTTACATCAATTAATTGGAGTCCCTAAAGAAAAATAAATTTAATTGGAGTCCCACTCCAAATTTCCATACCAAGAAACTGAAACGTCTTTCTAGAAAAGTCCAATTAATGGGCTATATTTTCTCTTTTGTTTTTAATGTGTAATAATTGTACCGTATTAATATAATTTTTTTAACCGAATAACTTAGTTTAATGTGAAAATTAGATTTTAGTTTTTTTTAGTTTATAACTATGTAAACTTAATAAATGATACCTACAAACTAAATTTCATACTACCTCATGTGTCTTCTACTTATCATATTATATATTGTTTATAAGGTACCGGTTCTCTATCAATTTTGTAACGGTCTAACAAACGGTTGGACCACTAAAGTGCGAGCCGTTCACATTAATGGGTTAGCTCCAGTTTGATTTTGATAACATTGATAGTTACTATTATGAACATTATTCATAAAAATAAAGTTATTAATTATATATATTAAAAATAATTGAAAAAACTTAATAATCAAGAGAAAAACAAATAAGTTTGGGTAGAGATGGAGAAACTTTGGGCAGCATAAATGATAAATTTTTTCCCATTATTTTTTTATAATTTTTCCCCATCACTTAAACCTACACAATACAACCAATTCGAATTAGTGTTTTAGGAGCATATAGATTTGTCTCTAAAGACTATTAAATTTGCCTCCATATGACATAACTATAAGTGACATTGTATTCGTCTCTAAAGGTTATTAAATTTGTCTCCATATGACATGATAATAAGAGACATTTGTATTTGTCTCTAAATACTATTAGATTTGCATCTATATGATATATGTATAAGGAGCATTTATATTTGAATCTAAAGACTATTAAATTTGTCTCTAATGACTTAGCTATAAGCAACAATTGTATTTGTCTCTAAACACTATCAGATTCGTCTATAGAGACAAATAATTTCACCTACTGAGTCAAATAATATATTTGCTCCTAACGTTTAGCTATAGAGACCAATACAACAATTGCCTCTAATTATTTGCCTCTATAGGCTGGTTTTCTTGTAGTGTGAGAGATTTGAAACGCTCTTATTCATTGTATGTCTCTTTAGTTCAATTAGTTGCATCAAAATAATGCATTCTTAGTTGCTTGGGGATATAAACAAGTATGTGTTAACTCACTACATAAAAGTTATTGGTCCATAAACTTTTTCACTTCACTTCTATGATAAAACTTTTGATATGAACGTGAACTAAACATTGTTTTTTTCAAATACATCTCACACAATAACATGTAACGATGACAAACATCATCAATTTACAAATATCATCCCAACAAGTTCATTTCAAATCTTATGAAATTTTTAGTCAATTGAATTATATACTTTTTTCTATCTATCATTCGACAACAAGTTCAAAAACTCACTACGAGTTGATGAGTTAGCCAAAAAATAGTAGAAACAAAAACGCGGAAATTATATTCATATATTTATTTGCTTTTCAAGTTGACACTTAGTCTACCGGTTGTCATATCAATATGGAGAGATCGTTTTTATCCATGAAATATTTTAAAAAATGATCTTCGGAATTGAATGAACGATGCGTTGGTGGCTTATATTAAACAAAGTTTTGTGCTAGTTTGGAAAATGAATGTGTTATACAATGTTTCAAAATATAAAATGTCTTAGTTGTTCATCGTAAATGGTGTACGTTGTTATGTATTTGATTAAATTTGAGTATTAAGTTGTTAGACTTATTAGAATTGACTTTTGTATTATGTAGTCGATTTTTTTAATGGTATGAAAAAAGCACCCTTAATTAATTTTCTGGCTCCGCCACTGCGTATTGGGACGGGATTTACCCGTTCCATAGGACTCACTCAGTTCTACATGCTGCTGTAGCATCACAAGTCCTAGCTAGATATTTCAAAATTCTCTCCATGGCGGAACCAGAAAGTTTTAAGGGCAAGGGAACATATCTCACCGACAAAAATATTTAGAATATCGAGGAAGTTAACGCCTTTTTTAAAAGCAGGAGAAGACGCCTATAGGGTTAAAAGTGATCTTGCGAATAAATACAGAACTCTTATTTGGTCGACTGTTCAGAAATCAGGAGCATGCGACTGGAATTACCTGCTTCATCGTCGGCATAACTCAAGTCAATGCTAATTGTCTCCCACATCATCGTCGTCCTCATCGTTTTCTTTGTCTTGTCCTTCATCTTCATCGGTTAATAAAACTTGGAATCTGTTGGCTAGACGATTGACCTTATAATTACCACCATGCTGCTGATTGTTTTTATAATTAGTGGTCTTCTTCGTTAACTTTGGGACGTCCACGGCCGCCGGCTTTGTTTTTGTCTGCTCAAACGTCCTTTCTTGATCATTCCTGTGCTTATGGATACTAGCCCTACTTACGTTACATGCATGCAACAAGTGAAGGGAAACAAACAATTAGAATTCATTCAATTGGCGCAATTAACTTGATCAGTAATAATTATCCAGATGCATGAGGTGGGTTACCAGGGCATGGGGAGAAACCAAAACGTACGTGCCTTCCTCTTCGAAATCAAGTTGCCACCACCATCAACATCAGAATGACAATAAAACCTTTCAACCTTGTGATCGCCAAGATCGAACACGCCGCAATCATTACCATACTCATTGGACGTCAAAGCTCTGAAGAACAAGTCCTGAAAAACGAAGTAGATGCGGTTGCCTTTGACCCCATTATTGAGCAGTGGATCCGCAGGGAGGCAGAAGGACTGGTGAGATCCCAAGAACACAGCGTGACCATCCAAGTCAGTCACTTCTGCCCAATGATGATCATTTTTGTTATCGTCTCCTTTCTGTACAAACTTGTAGACCTCGAACTCGAGCAGAGAGTTATCAGAGGGATCGTACCAGGCTCTACTATGGCTTAGGATGACCAGGAGTTGACCTCCAAGGTTGGCCAAGTGGTACGAGGTCCCGTAGTCTTCTACAGCACGTCTGTCTCGCCAAGTGGAGCGGTAGGACATGGCCGGAGAGAGCGGGAACATTCTTACAGTAAGTGCACACGTAACCAGACCATGAACCACGGTCACGTACTCGCCGTCCACCAACATGTACAACTTCCCTCCGAAGTAGTCCATGTCTACCCGACATCGAAACCAATGGTAGGGTTCCTTGTTGTTGAAAATGCTCGAGCCCCGGCACGAGAATTTCCAACCTCCTCCTCCTCCTCCGTCCTTGACCGCCTATACGTTGCACCACGCCAGCTGGGGCCTGGAGCGGAAGAGAAGGAAGACGTGGCAGTCCTCCTCCTCGTCGTCGTCTTGGTCGGGAGAAGAAGAGATGGCTCCTTTAAGGATGTGGGTAGGGTTGGCGGGGAAAGGGAGAGGAGGGAGAGGGATGGAGGATTTGGTGATTGGGTTCAAGAGGTAGAAGCTGATCGGTGATAGGACGTGCTGGTGCTGCATGATGAGGATCCACCCGTCATTGGAAGCCACGTAGTGTTTTGCTTGAATGGTGGAGCCCAGGTAAGGGTCGTCGTCGAGGTAGATGTCGTCGCCCCAGTGGAGGCGCACCGACTCACGAATGATGTGGGACACCTTGGATCGGGATGGGAAGTGAGGGAGCGTCACGTGCGGGAGCCTTCTCCTTCTCTTAGTACTGCTTCTTGTTTCTTCAGCTGGCTGACGGCTTGGCGAGGGCGGTGAAGTTGGCTGCTGTATAGTGGTGAGGGGAACGAAGTCATGTGGTGGCCCGCAGTAGCGGGAGGCCGCGGGGGATTTCGACGGCACGGCCGCGGCTTGCGAGATGAGGAGGCCCGGAAGCTGCATGGATAAGGGCCGGCGGTGGCGGAGTGGGAGAGCGGCGGTTCTCCATGATTTGCACACTCCGGAGAAGGCGACCAACTGAGAAAAGGTGTGCACGTGCTCCGTCACTATCTTTTCCAGTACGTCGGACACCAATTCGGAGTAATCCATTAGCTAGGGTTTACTCAATCTGGACAAAGGAAAGGAAAGGAAAGAAACAACCCTAATAGATTGGTTTTAAGTTTCCAATGGGAAAGATTCAAGAAGAACGTACGTACGTAACTGACGACCATACATGGAGAGAGACGAGAGAAAAAGAAGGCGCTTACCGGCCGAGGAGATTGAGGACGCGAGAGCTATTCAAGAAGAAGACAGAATGGACGTGAATCCGGTGAACTGTAATTGGAGCGGAGGAGAGGAGGACGAAAACCCTAATTTTCTCGGATAACATATATATAAAAAAATTGGGCGAATTTGGCTGCTATACGAGTTGCAGCTATAGGTGTCAAAACATAGCCCGACCCGATTAACCCGCCCGATCAACCCGACCTGCAACCCGACCGCAACCCGAATTGACTAAAAGTCAACAACCCGTAACCCGCCCGATCCGCAACCCGATTGACCCGCAACCCGACTGACCCGCAACCCAATTAACCCGAACCCGATTGACCTGCAACCCGACTGACCCGCAACCCGATTGACCCGAACCCGACTAACCCGTAACCCGACCGACTCAACCAGAATTTCATCTAATCCACTTGAATAATTATAAAAATATACAATACATAGTTTTTCAAAATAAAGTTTTTCATTCTAAACTTAAATAAAAATATTTTTTCATTTTGTATAAGAAATTTAAAAAATATGAAACTCACTTGATATTACGTATGTTAAGAAAATTACCAAAATTGAAACATGAAGGTCACTTGAGATCAGGACAATATTAATATAATATATAAATTAAAATTTTGGTTAATTTAACTATTCAATAAAATTATCAATTAAATATAAATAAAGTAAAGTAATGTATTTGGTAATTTGATGCTTTTAAAAGAAGAGAGAAATTTTGGTGTATTCAAGTTTTTGGGAAGAGAAAAAAGAGGGAAATTTGGTTCTTTGGATTTTTTTAGAAAAGAAACAAGTGGGAATTTTTGTGGTTTTGATATGTGGGAAGAGAAAGAAGTGGGAAAGTTTGATTTTTTTGATTATGAAAGAGAAATAAGGAGGGAAACTTTTGACTTTTCAACTTTTTGTAGAAGGAAAGAAGAGGATAATTTGTTTCTTTCAATTTTATGGAAGAGAAAGAGGAGGGAAAATTGAGTATTTCTAATGTATGGAAGGAGAAAGAAGGAGAGAAATTTTAGTTTTTTGTGAAAATAAAGAAGGAAACAAATTTGGTGTTTTTAATTTTTTGGTTTGTCATAATTTTAGCTTTTGAAATATGAATCTTTAACTTTTATATGGAGGGCATGACTAGTTAAAATTATTCTTATATGCTTTGAAGGCTAATATGTATATATGTATGTAATTGTTTATGGGCTAATAAATGAACTAACCATTAGTTACAACAATTTATACTAAACTTGATAAGTAATCTTTGACGGTTCGTTGTGTAGGATATAAAGTATATGGTTAGGGTATAAGGTATAAGGTACATATGATTTATGGTGTATATGGTTAGGGTATAAGATATTGATGGTTTTGACGGTTCTAAGTTTTTTATTAACATATGTTCACTTGAAGTCATTTGAAGTCTTTAACGGCAGGAGATCCCTTTTTAATTTATGTTTATGGTACGTGGTCAGGGTACAATGTATGTGGTGTAAAGTATAGGATATATGGTTAGGGTATAACAATTAGCAAATATCACTTTTTATCTATGTTTTGAAAATCAAAGTATGAATTTCACTTTTAAATTAACTATACTAGCAAAATCACAACTCAATGACATATGATTAGGGTATAGGTTATGTGGTTAGTGTATAATGTATTGATAGTTTAGGGTATACAATCAACAACATATACTAACTTAATATTGTTGATTGAGGGTAAGGCTAAGTGTATAGGATATATGCTATTGAGTAAGTTATGATTGAAGTCACAATAATTTTACTAAATTTGATAGCTAATCTTTAATGGTTCAATTTTTAGGATAATTCGAACAATTTTACAAATAACTCGTTTGGCAACAGTTTGCTGAAGTTATTTGGGCAATGAGTTATTTTGAAATAACTCCTTTTATCACTATGCTTTTGCCAATTACCACACGCCAAATACCAGATTTGCATGGTTATACTAAACGAGATACTTTAATTCAATTACTACTGAATTAATATTAAAATATCAAATAAACAATTAACGGTGTCTTTTGGTTGCAAATATTGATATCACCATTACTATTAGCTATAATACTTTACCAATTATGATTAATTACATAACAAGTTTGCAAGTCATACAAATTGATTTAAAATTTTGACTAGTTTTTTTCAAAAAAATAAAGTATATATATACGAGGTAGAAATAAATTGGTTAAAAAGTTGAGAAAATATTTTAAATTAGTGTAATAAAATGTGTAAGTTGGTAATGAGTTAAGTTACTTGATGCGCTGGCCCGAACAACCCGAAACCCGACCCGCCCGCAACCCGCCCGACCCAAAACCCGATGAACCCGCAACCCGATTTGCCCGCAACCCGATTGAACCCGAACCCGATGAACCCGCAACCCGACTAACCCGCAACCCGTTTGAACCCGAACCCGATAAACCCGAACCCGATGAACCCGCAACCCGACTAACCCGCAACCCGTTTGAACCCGAACCCGATTGAACCCAACCCGAACCCGCCCGATTGACACCTATAGTTGTAGCCTTCCGCTGCTCCCCATCCACGTGGCTACATATTGTTGGCCCAAATTATGTTAATTAATTATTTAAATGCTAATAGGATTTGGACGAAACGGAGAAACTTTAGTTTGACGGATGCTGGGACGGGACGTGGGACGGAGAAGCTATGACTGTTTCTCAAACGTTTCTTTTATGTTAATTTATATTTTTTTATAACATCTATTTTTATTTATATAATTGTGCTATCAATTTTTATTAATTAATTAATTAATAAAAGGGGAAGGAAATAGTGAAACAGGTGTATCATGGATAGAAATGGCAATGGGCAGGTACAGAGCGGGTATTACGATACTGTTTCCCGGCGAGAAAACTTGCGTTGAAATAAATTGATTGCACCTTTGACTTCTTTGGACAACGATCACTAAACACGGTTCACACCTCTTCAAACACAGTTCGAACGAGGGTGTTCGATGTTTACACGACTCTCGAGACAGATCTACATTAAGTTACTCATACTCCTATGGAGGTTCTGAGAGAGCTCCAGATCTACGACTATTGATAAAAATTTGCAGAAGAAAGATAAGATTGATAAAACTTGACAAGTGGTGTCGAGTCGTAATTTTTGCGGGCTTCTCCTCTGTCGACTCCCCCTCCTATTTATAGGCCTTGAGATGATAACCGCCGTAGAAACTGTCATAGAGTAACTTCCAAAAAGAACTGCTCCCTGCTTCCTCGGAACGTGGCTGACGTGTCCTTTGAACGTGGGATGAGTAGCCGTTACTTCTCAACTGCCCAGGTACCTCTCTTGAAAACGTCGTAGGATCTTGTAGTTTGCCTCATATATCACGGTCATGGACTTCTTTACTCATGTCCATGGCCCTCTTGGGACTTAGTCTCTAGTGATATAATATTTCATCCCCATGTCATTCTCCTTCGTGTCCATGGCTCCTCTCGTGAGGCGGCATGGCCCCTCAGAATTATCATATGGCATGGCCTCTTGTTTGCACCCATGGACCTCTCAATCATGAACATGGCCTCCCTCATGAAGCAGCAAGTCCTTCCCTATACTTAGAATATTTTCGGTTATTTGATTTAGATCATGAGGCGACATTGCCTCTTTATTCGCGACCATGGACTTCTTATTCATGTTTGTGGCCCCTTCCGTTGGACGGCATTGGCCTCCTCATACTTAGTATTTTTCACGCGCCCAGGTCCTCTTGTCTCGTGTCCATGGCCGTCACATATGACACGGCCATGGACCTCTTAAGCATCCACATGGCCCTATATTCTCATACTTAGAATATTTTTGTCATACCGGGCCTTCCTTGAGATAGCATGTGCTACTTCATTCTAGATGGACGTGTTCTTCTTTGATGAGGCGGCATGGCCTCTTCGTTGAGGCGGCATGGCCTCTTCCGGACTTAGTTAAATTTTCACTCCTTCGGTCTTATTGGTGAGGCAGCATGGCCTCTTTAGACTTAGTGGCTTGGGCTTAAAATCAATATCCATAAGGCCCAACTGAAACAACATTAATTGTTATAATAGGGGTGGCCTTATAAACTCATTAATCATCTTGTAACTCACCAATGTGGTACAAGAAAAACTTTATGGTGTAAACAAATGCCCCCCAACTACTTAGTGCATAAGAATTATGGACTAAGTAGTTGGACACCACCATGCTAGCGAAAGTAACAAGCTGCCTAGTGTCTACTCAACACACCTAGTTCATCCTTAGCCAAAATTTGGCTTTCACGTCAAGCCAACACGGTAGAATGGAACTCGACGTCAAAACTTGTCTCATGCCTTAGCCAAATTTTTGGCTTTTAATTATCAAGCCAACATGGCCGGATGGAACTCGACGTCAAAACTTGTCTCATGCCTTAGCCAAATTTTGGCTTTTAATGGTCAAGCCACCTAATGCATTCAACGAGACACCAACTTCACTTTATCACATACACCCTCACTGACATCTCGTACTTGGCCACATGGTTGAGAGAATAACTTAGAATTTTTCGCACCTATTTGGCATAGATTGGCTCATCCCACCTCGTCACAAGGCTAGACAGCTCCATCGCGACAAGTCAAGCCGTCTACTTTTTTGCCTTAGAAAAAATAATGTTCATTTTTATGTTGGTAGAGACATTATGGTCACCACTCCTCTACTACCACTTTCAAGCCATCATGCCCCCCAGGCCGTGGCTACTCGGTACAAGATAACATGGCATGGCATGGCCTGATGTATGGCTCATCATGTCAAGCCATCACAATGACTTGGTGGCAAGATCTTCATGTCGAAGTCTAACAACTCCGACTCAAGATTTTCACTTTG